CTGGTGTGGTGGCTTTTCTACATCGAATCAAAGCACATGTCTGAATTAATGGGAAAGGATGCATTTTAAAAAATGTCAATAGAAGCCCCAGTGGCAGAGGGGGGAAAGTAAGGATGGGGCTGGATGGTTGTTGTGGGTTTTTCGGCTCTTTGGCCATGTTCTGAGGGTTGTCCTTCCCAACGTTTCGCCAGTCTCTGTGGCCGGCATCTTCAGAGAACAGCACTCTGTGCTCTGGTGTAGTTGCTTGGGAGTGGAGTATTTATGGCTGTGAGATAGGCTTTTGTCCTTTTCAGGAGATGGGTGATTAGTGTGTCTTGTTTGGTGTATTGCTGTGATAAGGGAGAGAGATTATCTGTCACTGTGCTTGATGGGTGTCATTAGCTGGTCTTTTGTGTGTAGTGAGTCCCGGATGGGGGTGGACTTGGGGCAAATTCACATTTCCTTTTGTGTCATGTGAAAAAAAAATGCATATCAGCCTGACCCGAACCCATAGTATTTCCCATATTTTTCCCCAGTGTAGTTGCAACCTAGAATACATTATTTGGGCTAAGCTTTTATGGACTGCTTATGCCCTCTCCATCAGGAGCATGATGCATCTGAAGAAAGACATCTATAAAAGCCTGACATGGCTTCGTTTTTAATCTGGCACAGGCTAACACGGCTATCTGCTCGGAAAACGAAGGGGAACAGAACCAACAGAAATGCACGGAACAAACTGGCGCATGGGTGCATCTGTTTCTTTCCGAAACAGGTGAATTCGCCAGCCGCCTCTTGAGCCTTTGATGGCCTCGCATGCATATGCCTTCCACGGGCTGGATTTGCATAACAGAAGGCCAGATCCGGTGTACGGTTTTAGTGTGTTTCGATTTGGATAAAACCCGATTTTGATGGTTCTGTGTTTTATCTTCCAGCTGGTCGGTGGGAGGGTTCGCACCAAGAGAACGTGCAAGCTAAGGGTGGATGGGAGAGAAAGAGAGAGCGCAAGTGATTAGCATTGTTAATTTGATGCAAGACCTGGTGGCAGGCCTTTTTTTTTTTTTTTGGTTAATGCAAGACGATTAATTAGCCTCCAGAAAAAAGGGGGGGAGGGGGAGAGAGAATACATTTGAAGTGTTTATTGCAAGGATCAGGTTGCTAGTTTTATAAGCAGAGGGGGAAATAAAAGTACCGGGGACGACACGAAAGGAACAGCAGCAAAGGGACTAGAACTCTTAATTCATAATTCAACAGACTAATCAGGGAACATCTTCCCTGGCTCCTCGGCTGTAATGAAAAAACGTGAGGTGACAAATGATGAGGCTGCTTTATTTCTTAAGGAGGCTGCTGGCAATTAGCTCCCTTCTGCTAGTGCCCACGTTAATGGCCTAATGAGGTGGCCCATGTTATTAAAGCAAGGCAAAGAAAGTAGGGCAGCCTCAAATAATTATCTTAACGATAAACACGGTGCAACACAATTTTAATACAGTTCGGTCGGGGAATTAATTTGCAAAAAGAAAACAAGGAGAGCCTTGTTTGGAACCGGCTCGCCTAAACGCTGGTCACCTCTGAGCTTGACTGCTTGATGGCTCCTGCAGAAGAACCGAGGAAAGGAAAATCCAGGGTCGAGGTGCGTATGGATGAAACAAATATGGTCGGATCCCCATATCCACGGGGAATCAGTTCCAAGTCCCCCACCACTTCAGATACTGAAAAATGCAGATGATAGCAAACGCTATTTTAATTGCAAACACTATACATAGCATTGTCTTTGTCTCCATCTACTGGCCAGTTCTGGTAACTTCACCTTTAGAAATCTATACTGTCTGGTAACTTCACCTTTAGAAATCTATAGCGCTAGAATTTTTATTTTAATATTTTACATATTTTCAGAGTAAATGAATCAGTGGATACTGATCCCGTGGATAAGGGGGTCCTACTGCATGCACAAATGGTCTCCTCCTGTTGAAAAGCATGGGGAACCCCTGTGAGCTTTTCCACTCCTGTTTTCTAATGTGCCACAAAGCCTTCTAACTTACGTTGACCCTATGAATTAGGAACCGCCCCAACCCATCCTGGCCTTAGCAGCCATGCAAACATGGAAAAATGGTTTCCTTGATGGAGTCAGTCCATCTCATGTTCCACCTTCCTCGTTTCCTGCTGCCTTTGGCTTTTCCCAGCATGATTTCCTTTTCCACTGAGGCTTGTCATCTCCTGATACATCCAAATTGTAACCCCGGCTGAGCCAGTTTTGCTTCTAGAGAGAGGGGCCCCTGCTCAGGCTTTTTGGTCCGATGGGGGCTCAAAAAAGCCCACGCATTTTGAACTGGCCTGCGCATTTGCAAAAAAACAACAACAACAACATTTTGTGCACGAAAATCTCATATTTTACAAATATGAGGTTAACTGTTCAAACGACAGTTATTCCCCCCCCCCAAAGAAAATATGGGGGGTGTTTTGCTTTGTTCCATTTTGGGCTGTGTTTTGTTTCCTTTCTGCAAAAGACATTTGGGAATGTGGAAAAGGCAGGAAAACTCCTATGACCTCACCCAGCAGAAACATTTCTATTTTCCCCCCCAGTTGCAGAACGGAAATGTGAGGATTTACATCCCTCGGCCAGCTCTTTCCAGCTAAAGCAGACCCCCTTTGCAATGCCAGAGACAGGAGCTGGCAGTAAGGACGCCGACAGCACGGATGGTGTGGGACACAACGGGTCAGCCCTCTGGCCTTGGTACCCGGGAAAGCTCTCTCTCCCTGGACCCGTTCACACAAATGCACAGAATAAGAAACAGACCTGAGGCTCACAATCATGCATTTTCCGGTTGAACGTATGCATTATTTTGCAGTCATTACATAAGGGAATCCCTCCCGTCCCCATTACAAAGTCACAAAAAGTCTCATGTTTTGGACCAGACTGCCCTAATGGAGCTAATAAGGGGCCCCACCTCTGATGCTTCTCCCAGGATTTACAGATATCTCAGCCCGAAGCAGGGGGTTGGACTTGATGACCTTTCGGGCCCCTTCCAACTCCATCATTCTAGGATTCTTTGAACCTACAGACAGATGGACGTTTGTGTCTGTCGTTGGTCGACAACGCTTCATCCGCGACCCACATCAGACGGACCCCTTCAGCGGTTATTCAAGGGACATTCCCTCATTAGTATTTAAACTATCTTTTATGCTGGCTTTTTTCTCCCCTATTGTATTACCCCCTCCACCCCCTTCCTCCCAATTTATCCTTCTGAAATATGTAAGAGCCGAGTGATGTTTCATGTACGCTGGTGTTAAAAAACGCATTTAATCACCATTCCTAGTGTTGCATTTCAGGGACAGATCAAAGCCAGCGAGGGATGCCTCATTAAAAGCAGGAATGTGTTTCTCGCCCTGCGCGTGTTTACCTCGTTTGTTTCCTCTGCAATATAATCCATTCAAATCAGATTTAACCCTTCTGGAACAGGGCTGCCACAAAGGCCGAGGGTGTCCTCTGGACACGGCCAACCGCTCATATTTTGCTGTCAGTTTTATAATGCCACGGTGAAGGGGATTTCAAATAAATTGGACATTAAAAATTTAAATGCCTTTTATGAATCTGCTAGCTTCGACAAGGACACTGTGTTCAAAAATAATCGGGGAGTGTAAAATATGCATGATGGAAGGGTTCTGCTGGTCAGGCCCTCCTTTGGAATGAGACGGCGGTGGAGACTCGCGAGGTACAAGGGACCGGTCCTTGGTCAGCAAGATGAAAGAGGTTATATTCAGATCAGTAGGAAGAAGATGGATGGATGGATGGATGGATGGATGGATGGATGGATGGATGGATGGATGGATGGAAGGAAGGAAGGAAGGAAGGAAGG